CATTAATACGACATTAATGATTATCAAAGTGATGAAAATAACCAGCTAGAACCATATATAATCTCACGTTTTAACATAAAAATCGTATTGTTCTCTCTAAAAAAAAATCGAAAGCAATAACTCGGGAAATGCTCATAGATCGTGCAAAGATCGAAGATGGAGCACTTATTCCAGTCGCGAACAGTGTTATTCGAAGCGTATGCAAAGAGTACTATAATGATGGCTTGTTAGAATCGCTCGCCAAGAATACAATGGATTGAGCAACGCGTAACAGCGACGTTCGAACAAAATTGCAAAACTGGCACACGGTCGATGCAACAAAATCGAAACGAATATCATAGAATTATTGGACAGGTATATCGTCGTCGATTTAATCCTGTTATTCGCATTCTATCGCGCCATAAAATTGCTAAACTGGCTGGTCAGATTGGCTCTGGTCCACGCACCGTGTGTCTCTATTACTCCCTCCTCGATCTTGATCGATAAAACATACCAGACAAATTAACGGGCTTGCAAACGCTGGACTTGTACAATGATGGCGACAGACTGCGTATCTAAAATTGTTCTTTTACCTTTGCTCGTTAAAATAATCACGGTTAGGACCGTGGCACGGTGCACCCTGCGTTGTTCCTGGTCCCTTATCCGCGCTGTCCCAGAACGTTTGTTACTGGTGGCGAGTATCGGTCGCATAATCGGTAACGACGTTGTCCTAGGATCGCCGAATCCCTTTTCCCCGTTGTAGCACCGCGGTGCATTGTTATGCAATTGTACAATGCACGTAGCCCCGGCAGCCGCCCACGCGTCGACATTTAGTAAGCGCGTTTAATCTCCACGGACATGACGTAAAGTCCCTTTGTTCCGCGACACGGTCCACGATACTGCGTCGCTCGAGTGGGACGTCAAAATTTCTCCGTTCATTGTTCCGTTTCAGCCGTGCCACGACTGGAACGTTAGACCGGGGTTCCCTTCGTCGTCGACCGGGGACAAACTTAGAATTATCATTGAAACCGAGTCTAGGAGATCGGCTTCCTTCGTCGTGCTTCCAACTTTCTCCCGTTTCCCTTCGCGTTTCGCAAGGGGAGAACCGCGATCGCGATCAGATTTTGCTGGCTCGTCCTGAACGATCCAAACTCGAACACCAAATTCGGAATATCTGGGTCGTGGCGACGGTATCGAGACGAACAACTAACCCCGTTCGGTTATATTATAAATTGGGGGCGTAGGGATACGTTTTTAAATATTGGGGAACTTTTTATTTCACGGTTGGTAGCGAGAGATCATAGAACCGCGGCCATATTGCTTTTCCGCAATTTTATTACAGCCTGAAGGATGGATGATCGTAAATGCAGTCAAAACATAGTCATTTCCTGCACCAAGAGCAACAAATAACTGCGAAATCTTTGAAAATACATTTTGAATCTGTGACATTATCGTTAAAATACACATGCGTCGTTGACATTCAGAAAATCGGTGCCAACAACTCCTTAGGGATTATGGACAGTATTTTTATGGCATCTATTGTGTAATTTGGGATCTTATAGAAGCTTTTTCTATAATTAGCTGCTACGGATGCAACTGGTGCGTGAAACACGTAGATTTTAACGATACTGTCGTAGATACGTTTAAAATGGATTCCCAGAGGAGATTCTGCATTTATTTGTTACGATTCTTGCAAGGAATTTACTGCTCCTTGGATGCTTTTACGATTCCGCGCCAATTCTCACGCTGCAATAAAATTGCAAGAGGCGCTCCAGAATAATATTTCAATGAAAGCTTCGTTCCCTTTATCCAATTTACAGACGCACATTGTAGTTTAAAACAGCGTAATTAATCATAAGACGTAACCCCTTGTACGCCAAAGGACTTTTGCTCATTTAACTCCTGATGTCATATTTCTCGAATAGTCAATTGTATGAATTATCGGAAGAAGTTCCATTAGATGCACGTCGCACGTGATTTATGCGTGACGATGCAACGATACATTTCAGCCGAGTAGTCGGACAGTTCTTCGACGAACGATTTCTAACAGATGGATAGTTCGTGCAGGACCTATTACCTCGCTCGTACCACGGATCTAAACTGAATTTCTATTCTCGAAACCGCTTAAAAACATTTGTTTAATACCGATCGCCGTGGAACAGTTTGGCAACCCATACGAGAACGCTGCCAACGAATTCGAGACGATATTCTGGAAGAAAAGGACGCTTGACGCGCCATTTTGAGCGTTCTAGCGCGCGAATCGTTTCTGCGACGTGAAATGAGAAAAAACGAGCCGGGTCATCGGTTGACCCGTCGTTTTTCCACGCTGAAAATCGCGGTAATTAATTGTACGAACCCGACGAGAGTTAAACGATCGACTATCTCGTTCGATTGACGTCGTAAGCTGCGTGCAGAATATTGCCGCGTAGATTAACGGTCGAACGCTTGCACGGATTACCGATACGTCGGTATTGTTTATAACAAATTGCGTGGGGTCGTTGAAATTTTATCGGTTCGAGCCGCGCGGTTGCACAACATCTTGCCAATAATGCATTATTCTTTTGGTACATATTTAAATAAAATAAACGTACCAAATACAGAATCCTTACAAAAACTATGGTCTTTTAAGAAGTAATAAATTTTAGTGTTTTTGGGCTACTTGCCTCTCAGATCGTGAGAGATCGATCCAGAGCAGGATGATCTAAGGGAAAATTGCTCTAATAAATCGCGTTACATTTCAAAGCAATGTATCAGAGTTCTCAAGAAAAAATTTCATCCGTTAATCATTCTTTCGTCGTTCAAGGAAAATTCCGCGTTCCAATTCTCGTAGAGTCAGGTGTACAATCAGCAACAGTGTTTTTCCAGTTTAAATTCCGCGGATAATTGCACTGATCCATTACGCACAGTCATCCGTGGCGAGCAATTAACGGGCGTAAACGTTCCATGAAAATCGCCGTTGAAGTTTCTCCCGGCGATCGCTTCCGTGCGGCTTTTCCAACCACCGATCGATTGTCTCGTTCGTCCGACGTCTAATTAGCGTCACGGTGCTAGCACGAGAAGCACGGGCATCCCTTTCCGCTGAATTATGCCGACGTCATTATCTGGAAATCAGGAAATCGTTCGTTTGTTATTGTCGGAATCCGCTTAACGAGTCCGCGTAACACGGCAGTTAGATCGGCATCCGCGGCATGGATCAATCGATTATCGATCAATAGAGATTTACGACCGGCTGTCGACAAAGAATCGCCCCGCGACAGAATGAGTTCGTCGAAGGACGAAACTAGACGAAGGTGAAACTCCCGCGAACCGATGAATGTGGAGCCACGCCCGTACGCTCGTTAACGAAACGGGTCATCCGTTAATAAACCTTTGGCATTGTTTAACAAAGTGTGACTTCGTCGAAAAATTATCAGCAGGGCGAGGCAGCCAGCCTTCTGCCGATGGAATACTAACAAGAAAACTTTCCCGATCAATCAACCGGGTACTTAAATGAAACGTGTGGCGACAGAATTTGAAATTCTGAAGACGACCAGTCGTTTCTGTGCTTCCGGTTATATTTAATATTCTCAGAAAATTTATGCCCCTCGAACACCGTCGGGAATACTGGGACAGGACATTTTCAGTTGGGAAACGACTTTTGTCCGGACGTAATAGTTCAGATAGATGGAAAACTAGAGGCCATCGTAGGCCAAAGTTCCGTGTCACCGATTGCTAACCTTTCTCGTCGCTCGAAAGCTTGGACAATCGTTGATGCAGGTCTGAATTAATCGAGAACAAAAGTTCAGACGCGTTGACGTAGATCCGGAGTCTCGTCACGAGCCAAAGATCAGAGACTCTGACGCTCTCTGCGGTGTTAACAAAGATTTAGAGAGCTCTCGATGCAAGTTCAAAGTCGCTGTAAACAAAATTATATTTGAAAAAATGTAAGTTGTATCGCTTCTGTAAACGATGATCTAATTATTTGGAGTATTGATGCTTGAATGGTGCACCAAGAACTTCGGTGGATGCCAAATCGATTTCGAGCTTTTCTAAATTCGCTTCGAAAGGAGGACACGATCAGGATAAATTCGACGATTCAACATCTTGCGTTACAAAGGACAGTGCAAAGAACGTTTATTTATAGTGTTTCGTTTACAGGCTCGGCCACTCGAGTCTTTCGAATCCACGAGGATCGAAATTTGAAAAAGGTTGAGAAACATTGGTGGAAACGAATGATTGACGATACAAATTGAATGCACACGCGAGGAATGGAGATGTCGCCGTCTTATGTCAGATAGACGTCAGATTAAAAGATCAACTTGCATTTTTCTGTTGCATCGCGTCTGCGTCGGATTAGATGTCAATATATTTCTATTAAGCAAATGAAATTGGTATCAGTTACTCAAACGAAGCGCTTTCCGGTTTTAATAACTGATAGAAAGTAGTTTATCTTTGTTTAAACTTCGAAACTTTATCCTTTGATTTTTACAAGAATTTTACCTCTGGAAACGATAATTACAGAATGAGAATAGTAATGCGAATTTCATGTGACACTAAAGAGTCTGGATGTGTCATAAGTCACAACCCAATATTATTCCACGACCAGAGACGTCAGTGATCCGAGTGCATAAATCATAGTTAAAGTTCCACGAGTGCACACTTGCTGCGTTGTTGGTCAAGGTTGGCGAGATATCGGTAAAGAATTTCGATTTTTGTCGAAGAGGAAGGCCTATTAATCGATTCTAAGTAGCCAATTGCGCAATGGCGTTCACCGTTCGCACGGTGTTCCTCCGTCCGTGCTCTTTTTATCCGTCTTATCTGCCCGACGAGAAAAATACATATGCTACGACGATTAATTAGATTCGATTTAATTTGTACAGTAGTATTTTACAACGAGAGTACGGATTGGAGGATTTCAATATTTCAAAATGCAAACAACGCGTATTTTGGCGAAGAATATTTACAAATTCTACGAATGTTCGATAAGTTGTTCCTTAACTTATGAGACCAAAGTGTTTATTGCTCGTGTAATTTTGTTGCAGTGATACCGAAAGTGGTGAAACCGTCGAGGGACCAAGACAAATCCCCGATCCATGAGTCGTCATCCCCGAGCTCCGATCTGGAGTACGTCATGCTGATGAAGATCAGCGAGAACCAGTACGGGGATCCGCGTAAGTTGATGTTTCGGTTTGATAAAGCTTGATCGACGGCCGCTTTCTTCGATAATCAATCGCGTCGAATCTTCGGCCGGCTTAATGGCGAGTTATCTCGAGAGCGGGGATTAGCAACGACGACAATACTAATATCGCCCTCGAGTGTTTGACGTTTTAATGAGAATCGCGACGAATCTCGTTTGTCGGTTGCGTTCGAGGGCTTCGAAAAGCTCGTCCGTGGCCGGGGAATGCGAACGACAAAACGAAAAAGGCAAACGAGAAACGAATATCGAGTTCGTGGATCGCGTTACGCTTTTCGCGGGCGTGTTAAACGCTGACACGCGGCTCGGGGCCTAGCGATGGGACCGATTCAACGACCGTTTGAACGGGTTTGATCAACCATAATCAAATTTATTGTCATCTTAAACTGTTCTGGTTAAAATATAATTAGAATCGTAAAATAAACTGGTCTGGTAATTACGTTCCAGTCAGTAGATAGACTCTGGGAAGGATTGAAATAGAATCAGGCAGTCTTTGAGATTCCAGCATCATTTGAATGTTCCCTCAGACACCTGGCCTGAACCCGGAAGCCACGACCAACGAAATTACATAATTCTTTCCGCGAATGGCGTGCGAAATACCGTTACAATAATCGTCAATAAATAAGTGGCGTTGCAGCGGGATCCACGCAAGTAACTGCTAGGGTTTGATAGTTTTCTTCGACTATCGTTTAATCATCTGCTCAAATAAGCATCAGCACGCTCGTAGACGTCGAGTTTCAACAAAAGCTGCGATCGGAATTCCAAACGTTGCCACTCAAAACCACGGATCGATGAGCTGTCAAGGATCGTGTCTCTGGAGTTGTCCTGGTACCTGTCAGCGATGAGAATCCAAGTCTAAACTTCCTTATAGCCGTTGCACGCTAGAATCGAATTCTTTATGACTGGGATAACGACTGAGGGGGCTAGTTATTCAGAATTCTATAACCCTTTAATGGTGGGAACCAGGGGGTGGTACACGTTTACGATCCACTTACACCACTGGCTTACAATCTTTATTAGCCTCTTAGAGCACTATACGACCTTCATTGTCTGAGCTAAGACTTTGTCATCGAGGAGTACCCAAGAGCAAACTTCCTAACACTTGCTGGGTCTATCAAATCCCTTTCATCTTGACTCTGACAAAGGCTACGTTCAATCTGGGTACTTTTCAAAGTCCTGAGCTGTCCTAGAAAACCGACTCGATTTTCGTGGAAGCTGTGCTTGTGAGACCATTGCTCCCATCGCTATCTGCGTACGCGCGAGACGCGAGAAAGGAACGGAACGACGGCGATTCAAATTAGCGCAATTAGAGACGACGATGCGCTCGGGATGCATTCCGATGATGGAACGTGTACGCGGGATTCTCGAAGCGTATCGAGCCCCGGCCGGTGCGAGCGCACCACCTTTATCAGGATCACGTTCGCCTCGTTAAGCTCTCGATTGTGCGAGACGGGGCGGCGCATGCACGCTCTACGAGACCCCGAGCAGATAAAAAGCAGACGACGCGAGCGGGACCAGATATTTATAAAGGACGCGATCGCCGCGCATCGATCTGCGATCTCGATTCTCGGAACCGTAAATCACCTGTACCGGAGGTTGCTCGCAATTTTCACCCTTTCTTAGGTCCTGGGGACACTCGTTGGGTCTTCTGGAAAACTACCAAGTTGTTAGGACCTCCAATAGCTCGCTGCAATTACTATGTCTCCATTAGATCTCCGTCACAGCTAAAGAACAGCTGAGAACACACGCTAGCAGCTACTCCTCCCCAGTTTCTGGGAATGCCAGGATCTGCAAGATGGTGTCATGGTGGAACGTTGGATGATGGATCAGACGGTGTGGCAGGTGACGAAGTGGAACAATACCGATGATTTATTCGTCAAAGAATAATGGGCAAAAATTAATAGTCACGCATGCGAGTAACAGTTAACGAAACAGTAGTCTTTGCTGTCGAACACGTTTGCGGCGAGTCAAGAAACTAGATAGGCAGCCGTCGACAAATAAAAAGGATCGGCCGAACGGTAAAAGCCGCATTCGCTGAGAAAGCGCCGCGTTTAACGCAACGCAACGAGGCACCGGGCATTTTGTCACGCACCCGGTCACGCACCAGTCATTCGTTGCTTGCCAACTTTGCGCGACTGTCAACGATTACCGGCAACAAATGAACTAGTTACTAACTGGCACGAACCCCGTATTTTAAGTATGCTAGGTATGCTTTGGCGCGTGTACCGTGTGTTTCAACGCCACGGCTATAAACCTAGGCGCCTGGGAACCGTACGAAACACACCGCAACTCCCATCAAACGAAGCCCTTCGAGGTTTCTCGAATGGTGATGTCTGATTAGGGGTGGTTCAAAGAATAAACGAAACATTCTTGGAAGCTTTTAGTCCCCCGCGTAATTAATGTTAATAATCCCGTGGATTCGATAACCGTTTCGCGAAGGTGTAGTACCGTTATCGATAAAGTGAAACCCGTCTGTTCGCAGCGGAGAATTACACGACGGCCACGAGGCACCACAGCGGCCATTTCCGCCACGCCTCGGCGGAAGTCTGGGACTCTTATCCCCAATACGAATTTACCGCCTTCGGCAGGCGATTTCGTCTGCGTCTCAGGCTCGATTCCAGCTTCGTATCGTCGAATATTAAGGTAAGTGAACGGCGTCCGGTATCAATTTGTAACACGTTTCAATTTCATTCACTACCCGCGGATCGGTACGATAATTTAATCTACCGAGATACGCGTTTATTGCTGTTAATGCTGTTACGTTACACGGTGCTGGTTACGTTATTACTATGCTAATGTACGAGATACCATCTTCAACGTACCGACGCTGAGATCTGCATAACGTTGCTTCTACGCTTGGGTCCCACAGCGGTTTAAGTGTGGGAAGCAGCATAGCGCGTAATGCTATTATTTATAAGGCGTTTGAAATTAATTGTCGCGGGTATTTGCTTCGGTATTTGCTCTCCCGCGTAGAAAATTAAGATTAAGGAGCGATATTTCTGGAACCCCTCCGGCTATTAATGTTTCGTAGCTTCAAATTTAAATTTCGGTAGCGTCTGGCGGAACGAAACGTGATTATGTAAAAAGCTCTTTCCCTTCGGGATATAGGTCCAGAATCGTTCTTGAGTCTAACCATTCATAAACAATTTAAATATTCTGCAAGCTATTATTCGACGAGAAATAGATGTTTCACCTTCGAGCTCGTTTCTAAAACTGTAATTGTTTCGCGTTGTTTGTGTAGATAACTCACATGAGCGAGAACACAACCAGAAGGGAGCATCCAGGCCATGAACTTGGATGCCTTTACACCGGAACCGTGGACGACGATCCGTATTCCGTCGTCACTGTCAGCCTCTGTCACGGAATGGTAAGTCAAGCTACGAATTAAGTCGCGGTATATTTTCATTCGTGGCTATTTTATCCCGGATGGATCACCTCGTTCGGATATTTATCCCCCGGAACACATCGATAATAGCTCGACAGGGAAAATGGCGATTATTTTTCTTCTCGCCAAACTTGCTCGAATCGTCGGACGGTCAGGGCAGGTCGAATAAAAATATTATCGTACGCGGTAGGGTCTAAAAATACGTATCTTCTGGCCGCATCCTCCTCGGAAGTCATCGTCCAAGTGACCTCCCTAGGGGCTCGTCTCTCGCGAATTCCTAAAACGCGGTTGCGAAAATGCCTGGCGCGTATCCCTCCCCGGGCCCTCGTACAAAGGCGTATTTAAAGTGGTTGGCATAAACAGGTATTTTTGCCTCTCCCTGTACTGGTATTTCTCCAGTACGTCGCGAACATGTTCGAACCTTGCACCGTGATCATTACAAGATTCATTACCAACCCGGGGAACGGAACGTCAGGCACCGGTCGATTCTAGCGAAACGACGCTTAAACACGTAGCTGATTCGGATTTATGAGCTCGTTGGATTACCTGGACATTGATTACTCGGACAATTATCCGGACATGCAATCAAAAGACTTGTGTGCTCAAGATACGGAAAGAATTTCGCCTGGATATTATCGGCTCGTTGCACTTATCTTGTCCTGCGCTCTAAATATTCCGTTCTACGCGTTCTCCTTAGTCCTAAGAGAGTTTCAAGCACGTTCGTCAGGTTCTCGCGACAGCTAGTGACAAGATGAGAAGCAATTGCTCCGGTACAATCTTCTTCGATAATTCAATTAACCATCTTTTGGACCTCCCTGTTATTTCCTGATACGAGTCACTTTGCTTGAGCAAAATCGACCAGGTCAATTTAATTTATCCAGTCGAGGAGCTAATATCTTTCATACGCAGTAAAGGTTTATGATAAGGTATTAAAATAGCGACGCGAGCGGATATTTGCGCAACCTAATATTTTCTGCCTATAACGTATATTTAACCGCGCATTAGGATTCATAATTTTCCGAGCTAAACGGCGTTTTAAACGGTATCGTTGAACGATTGACAACTGTGCATAACATGACGCTGATAAAGCGGCAATGGCGGACTGCTGGAGGATGCATAGGGGCATGTGGACACGCGTGTGTTTTTACGGCCGCATTCCCGGTGCATTTTGTAGCGGGCACGTTAGTAGGTGGAACACGGTCCAGATTGGACATTTGCCATGGTAACGCTAGAACGAGTTTCCGGATTATCTTGGCAAACGACTGGCCAAGTGGCGCCCGGACTCCTCGACCGAGTTCGGTAGCGAATCCTGGTGCACTTTTTTCCCCCCGACAATCGATTTCTCACGCTGTCCGGCTCGCTTGTTACCGTGGTCACAGATTCCTTTGTACGTGGAAGGCACAGAAATACTCCGGTTCAATAATTTAGACGCTGGAAGAATGGCGCGCACGATGAAATGCTATTTCGAGAAAATCAAACACGAAGCTTTCATTCAACGCTCCGACAGCCCCAAGTTTCAGAGGGAAATGTGTTAAAAATATTTGGAAGACTCTTGTTATTTGACCACAATGTCTGTTTTTAACAAATCTGGAGATACGAAATTTTAAATAAATATCTCAAGAAAAGAAAAATCTTCCACGTTTCCGATTACCAATTTTCTCCATTCCCCTGATATAAATTATTTCTTGCCCGGCTGGGTAATTGACAGTGTTATTTAAACGTCTGAACGAGCCACTCAGTACATCCGTCGCCGATAGAAACGCAACATAAGCTACCACGAGTTATCCAGCCTCCTTGTGAATCGATCTACCGAAGTGGAGAGATTAACGCACAGACTACGCGGCAACTTGGTAAATTTGCCTCCATAAGTTACGAGCAGAAGCCCGTAGAGAGGATCTACGCGCGTGCAAGACGAATTTTCTGCTAGTTACGCGAACGCGGTGCATAGAAGTACGAATAATTAATTAAAGACGCTCCGAGGGGACGTTGCAACTTCGAACGAAACGTCTAAATAAACGGAAGAAATATACTAATCCCTTACCTCGTTGAATTCGTTAAAAAATCCTGCGATTTTCGGTGGAGGACGGCGGCCATCTTGAATACTAGAGTCGAACGCTCTTAACAATACGAATTAACATTCAGAATAAAGATGTTATACGCTTGATATGAATTTAAATAAGAAAAGAACCCGTCAGAAGCGGGTGTTTGATTTTTACAGGATATTTATTACGCGATTGCAGTTCCTCGAATTAAACTTTTAACGGGCGGAGGTTTACAGCCGACTTCGCTGCAAGTTTTCCGCGGAAGGAAAATATTAACCGAAGGTCAGAGAATACCGCCGATATTTATGTGTTATTCTCGCGCCCAAGAATGTGTTTCTAGGATCCGAGATTTACGAGTTCTGTTAAATTCGTCTCCTCGCGGCAGGCTTTGCGAAAAAAAAGTCAAGACGCCTTGTCAATATTTAATGCAGCGCTGTAACTTCTGTCGTTTTTATTTGAATACTTTTTGATATTTCTAATCGCGGTTTGCCTCGTTAAAGAACGTTACGGATGACCGTTTGCTATCGCGTACGATCACTGTTCGCTTCCTCCTAACGAATCGAGGAAGGCCAGAAAATCGCGTCGCTGGGATGTACCTTTAATTGGCAGACGCTTGTAAGGAACACGCTGAAAGCGCAAGCGTAAGTGCCCGCGCTTTCCGATCGCTTCGCTGATTTATTGACGTTGAACGGTTCCCCGTTCGCTCGACTTTCGAAAACAAAAATCGTTTGCATTCCGCGGAACGTGTGCTTGCGCGTCTCGAAATTATTTCTGGGACGCGTGACTTCTCGTTTCCGCGAACGAAAATTCAGTTGTATAGTCTACATCCGTCTCACGATAAAACATCTGGACCTCGAACGAAATGGAACCGAAGATAAATTTCATCCTTGGACGTGGTTCCTACGATCACCATCTTCGTCGAGCCTCGTTCTCTAGAATTGGAACGGAAAAATGCAGAAAGGGAGTAGGAACGCTGGGTGGCGCGATGGCCAGATGTCCTGGAACGCGGCTATCGCGACGATCGCCGCGCGTTCGTCTCACTTTCCAACTTTTAGCTACCTAAATAACTCCGAAACTCTCGGAAAAAGGCGACAGTTTCAACGGAGGAACGTCCGATCGCTGTCTCGGTGTACAGGAATCGTTAAAAAGAAAGTTAAACACTCGTGAATTCCAGGTGTCCGCCAGCCGCGGAGATAATCTCCATCTTGGCTTTTAATTCGTCGGCTCCTTAAACTCCCCATAAAACTCCCCGCGGAGGATCGCCGACTGATCGAACGGTAAATAAATTAACTCGAGACCGATCCCGACGTACGGTGAAACGGGGTGGACAATTACGCGTACTGTTGCTACTGGATTTCGCGCCCAAGGTGCACGCAGAAAAAACTTTTTACGAGCATGTTTTTACGAGCATCTCGTATTCTTTCGCACGGCTATTTTCGACGCGACGTCGGGGGCCCCCGGGGAATTTAATGAATGAAATTTGAACTTCCTCACGAACGACTCGGGTTCAACGGCACCGTTCCCGTGCGTTTTGTTTAAACCTGCCTGTTGCACTCGACCGCGGGACCTCACGAATTCTGCTCGTATCCAGAAAAAAACCCGACGAACGATTTCAACCTTTGGTTTCGGTCTTTTACGGAATTCTGAAACACCTTACGTAGCTCCTACCACCCAAAGTTACACTTTGTAAATTGGTACGATTACACAATTTGTAAAAATGGCTTCCTCCGCTGTGTGCAATAGCTACGACCCACATACGGGGTTGGTTCTTAAGAAACTGTCGTTTAAATTTCAATCGAAGTCCTAGGCACGTCTCCCATTTCGCGAGGGGTAAAAAATTTCTCACGCTGCCTCTTTTTGCGTTCAATGGCGTCGCCGGTTATTCACAGTTACACGCACGCCGTGAAAACAATGTCGCGTGGTCAGGAACGAAAGACAACCAGCTTTCATAAAATTCCATCGGGATTTACCGCATTCGCGATTATTTCGAAACGTTTGCGATTCCACTTACGGGCAAACGTTTACATTCAATGGGTTGTCAGTTGCTTGGGGAAACGAGGGGGGGGGTAAAAAAGGAGAGGAAGAAACTGAATAACATCGGGCCCGTTTTACTGTCGTCAAGTCTTTGCGCTTGGAAACGCGACCGTAAAACGCGTCCCGTTGACTCGCGAGAAAAACTGAAGATTTAACGCCACGCGCGTATGATTTACGGGCTGTGTCTTTTTCCCGCCGTTCGCTGGATTCCGTCCAACCGTTTTCTTTGTTCTATTTTTCGCGTTTTAAAGTAGCGCACAGGGTCGCATGAAGCGTTACTTTATTATTTCCGCGCGCGTATTAAAAGTGTCGTCGATCCTCGACTTTTCTGGAAAAACAGTTCCACTATTGTAACGATCTCACGAACTCGTGTCTCGAAGCAACGAGGCAAGTCTTCCGACAAAAAGAAGCAGCGACTCAGATAAAATAAACATAACCGGAGCTGACGTAACCGTAAGAAACGCGACATTATCAAAGCAGCTAACAACAATGAAATATCAGCTTGCTCGGATGATTTCATTCCTGAACGTACAACGTGGACGCGGCGAAGAAAGGGAAAAAAAATAATTCGTGAGGAACTGTCGCGTTGGATCAAGCACCGATCAAAGCAACAGTTGTGCAACCGTGAATCTTTTGCGTGTCACGCGAGATCAGAAGTGTCCTAAGCGCCGTGATACGAGGCAGACGATCGGTCAGAAAGATTCGTGTCTCATCGTTTAATCGGTAAAACGGGATCGTTCGCGACCATGACCGTGCCAAAGAAGCTGGCCACGTGAAACTGGGTCATACGCAGTCATGGTTATTTCAAGCTCTCGGGGCGTCTTCTTTTCTTCCTCCCAATTCTGCCCCCCAAAGCTTTCTCGCGCTCATTTTTCAACCCTCCAACACAGGTTCTTGATAATTGAA